TAGTCATTGCAGATGTGGTTCTTTCCTTCGTAGTAGGCACTTCAGTCGTTGTGATAATTTCCTCGGTTGTGGGCATTTGCATTGTTGTCAATATAACGGATGTACTAGTCTCCTCTGTTGTGGGCATTTCAGTCGTTGTTGTAACAATTTCTTCGGTTGTGGGCATTTCAGTCGTTGTTGTTGTAATTTCTTCGATTGTGGTCATTTGCGTTGTTGTTGTCAATATTTCGAATGTAGTAGTCTTCTCTGTTGTGGACATTTCAGTCGTTGTTGTGACAATTTCTTCGATTGTGGGCATTTGCGTTGTTGTCAATATAACGGATGTACTAGTCTCCTCTGTTGTGGGCATTTCAGTCGTCGTCGTTGTAATTTCTTCGGTTGTGGGCATTTGAACTGTTGTTGTCAATATAACGGATGTACTAGTTTCCTCTGCTGTGAGCATTTCAGTCATTGTTGTGACAATTTCTTCGGTTGTGGGCATTTCAGTCGTTGTTGTTGTAATTTCTTCGATTGTGGTCATTTGCGTTGTTGTTGTCAATATTTCGAATGTAGTAGTCTTCTCTGTTGTGGACATTTCAGTCGTTGTTGTGACAATTTCTTCGATTGTGGGCATTTGCGTTGTTGTCAATATAACGGATGTACTAGTCTCCTCTGTTGTGGGCATTTCAGTCGTTGTTGTTGTAATTTCTTCGGTTGTGGGCAGTTCAGTCGTCGTTGTTGTAATTTCTTCGGTTGTGGGCATTTGAATTGTTGTTGTCAATATAACGGATGTACTAGTTTCCTCTGCTGTGAGCATTTCAGTCGTTGTTGTGACAATTTCTTCGGTTGTGGACATTTCAGTCGTTGTTGTGACAATTTCTTCGATTGTGGGCATTTCAGTCGTTGTTGTCAATATTTCGAATGTAGTAGTCTTCTCTGTTGTGGACATTTCAGTCGTTGTTGTGACAATTTCTTCGATTGTGGGCATTTGCGTTGTTGTCAATATAACGGATGTACTAGTCTCCTCTGTTGTGGGCATTTCAGTCGTTGTTGTTGTAATTTCTTCGGTTGTGGGCAGTTCAGTCGTCGTTGTTGTAATTTCTTCGGTTGTGGGCATTTGAATTGTTGTTGTCAATATAACGGATGTACTAGTTTCCTCTGCTGTGAGCATTTCAGTCGTTGTTGTGACAATTTCTTCGGTTGTGGACATTTCAGTCGTTGTTGTGACAATTTCTTCGGTTGTGGGCATTTCAGTCGTTGTTGTGGCAATTTCTTCGATTGTGGGCATTTGCGTTGTTGTTGTCAACATTTCGGATGTAGTAGTCTTCTCTGTTGTGGACATTTCAGTCGTTGTTGTTACAATTTCTTCGATTGTGGCCATTTGCGTTGTTGTTGATGTAGTAGTCTTCTCTGTTGTGGACATTTCAGTCGTTGTTGTTACAATTTCTTCGATTGTGGGCATTTGCGTTGTTGTCAATATTTCGGATGAACTAGTCTCCTCTGTTGTGGGCATTTCAGTCGTTGTTGTGACAATTTCTTCGGTTGTGGACATTTCAGTGGTTGTTGTGACAATTTCTTCGGTTGTGGGCATTTGCGTTGTTGTTGTCAATATTTCGGATGTAGTACTCTTCACTGTTCTGGGCATTTTAGTCGTTGTTGTTGTAATTTCTACCGTTGTGGGCATTTGCGTTGTTGTTGTCAATATTTCGGGTGTAGTAGTCTTCTTTGTTCTGGGCATTTCAGTCGTTGTTGTTGTAATTCCTTCGGTTATGGGTATTTGCGTTGTTGATGTCAATATAACCGATGTAGTAGTCTCCTCTGTTGTGGGCATTTCAGTTGTAGGTATGTGAGATGTAGTAGTTTTATTTGTGGTAGGTTTTTCTGTTTCTGTTCTTAGAACAGCTGTCGTTGGTGATAGTTTTAAGGTATTTTCGGCAACCGTCGTTTGTACCTGTGTTGTTAAAGTAGATATACTACCTTCCTCTGTTGTGGACACTTCCGTAGTTGCCACTGGTGTTATTGTGGTTGTTGAATCTTCTAATGTAGGTTCGGTAACTGTTATCTCCATCGATGTTGTTACAACTGGCGTCGTTGTTTCCTCTATTGTCGAGGTTCCAGTCTTTGTCATTGGTTGTAAAGTTGTTGCTAGTTTTACCGTCGATTCAAGTAACGTTGTAGCTTGTTCTGTTTCAGGCATTTCACTCGTTCTTGTTTCTGCCATCGTGCTTGTGCTTGTACTTTCTGTTGTAGCCTCCATGGTTGTTGTTCTTGGTGTTACTGTCGTAGTAGTAATAATTTTTAAAGTTGTTTTGGTTGAACTTGTTTCTTCTGCAGTCGGCTCAATAGCTAACGAAGTCGCTGTTGTTGGAGTAGTGAAAATTCTAGTAGCAGATTCCAATGTAGTGTCTGCAGGACTTACTGATTCTGTCACTGTCGGTGGTGTTGTTTTCACTGTTGTCGCGAGCACTGCAATTGTTGCAGCTGTAGCTGTAGCTCGCGATGTACTTTCCACAGTCGTCGGCTTCGGTGAAGTAGTCGCCATAGTTGTAGCAGAATCATCAACTGTAGTTTCTTTCGTAACAATTTCATCAACAGATGTTGTTGTTTCGCCTGTTCCTCTATACAATGTACTGGGTTCCTCTGTAGTAGATTCCTCAACTGTTGTTTCTTCTGCTATCTGTGTGCTTATCATCGTTGTTTCAGTTATCAAAATTGTTGTTCTTTTTTCCTCTATTTTCGATTCCATAGTTGTTTCCATTACTTCTGTTTCCGTAGTGCTGGTTGCAGTTATGTCTTCCAATGTACTTTCCATTAACGTTGTTGTCTCCGTAGTAAATGGCGTTGTCATTATTGGTGTGGTTGTTGGTTCAGTCACAGTAGTAGTCACTTCTAAGCCAGCTTTTGAAATCGTTGCATCTAGTTTCATACTTGTCTCACTAAATATTGTTGCAATAGGTGTAATGATCTCTTCAGTGCTAATTTCTGTTGCTACTGGTTCGACTGTACTCGAAATGCTTGTCGTGGTAACATCTATCGCCGTTATTTCTGCTGCTACCAAATGTGGCGAGCTTGTTTCGAACATATCTTCCGTAGTGATAGCTTCTATTCTGTCTTCGTATTTATCATGATCTGCTTCGTAAGGTTTCGTATGTTGCATAACTTGTAATTCTTCACTAATTTGAGATATTGTCTCATCTAAGGATGTACTGGTTTGTTGATCCAGCCAGCTCAATGTCGTCTGTAGAGCGTCCATTTCCTCCAGATAGTCAGTATTATAAGTCAATTGTGATTCAATATTTGGATTTGGAGTCGTGGCCAGTATTTTCATCGCGTCCAGGTATGCAGTCACTTCTTTTCCAAACCGATAGGTCACGTCATTTTCTCTTCTAATTCGTCTTTTCCCAACACTTCTTTTTCTTCTTCGCTTCACAGAACTAGCTGTTCCTTCGGGAAATTGTTTTAAGAACAAACCTCGACCAATACTTGCATTTCGCTTTGCAAATGTCGACAGGGAATTAGCGGTACTTGTAGTATGTCTAAACTGCGATAATTCTAATATCTTCGAGAGTAAAATAGTATTATTCCATCGATTTGGCTGCGTATAGTTTCTATTTGTTAAAACATTCTGCCCTGTTCTTCTCTTTTTCCCACGAAACCGTAAATTCGACGATCTCCTAGCTCTCTTCGATTTCCTACGATTGTGTCTTAAATTTAAATCGTAATTAACAATTAGTGACTTTAAGTTCCTCACGAGACGATGGTGCGGCCTTTCGGGAATACGTACAGACGGAAAATCGAAGCAGAAACGGGGATGTGTGTAATCTATAAAAGGATAAGGATAACTGACTTCGTGACGATTGACGAAAACATTACTCCTCGAAGAGAAACCTGCCTCTTCGGTATTAGTTTTCTTCTTATTATTATTAAAAACTTTCCTTATTACTAAATTTTTATTATCCAGTACGGTCATCTTGTCCCGCCACTCTTCAAGAATCCCGTGCAAATTAGTGTATTCCATTCGTTCTGAATTTATTCTCCCACGAATTGCTGAGAAACACTGTTTTCCTCTTAAACGACAATCCTCCTCCGATTTTGCCGCTGTTGCCGTAGTATAAAAATTAACATTCTATAATACACAATATTACTTAGTGATACTAACAATCAAACCACAGTAATGACGTTTAACGTCAACAGCAATTGCCAAATTGGTTATGTACATTATATGTTGACGGTGCTTTCGAAATTTCTGATATATTTATCGTATCAAAATCATCAATGGCAATGCTGGTAGATTATCGATACTGTTTTGGTACTTACAGTGGTATACTCCGCGATATTATTGATACTGTACACAAAATTATTGTCAATGTTGTCAGCAATATTGACGGTTACGTCATCAGCTGTTATTACCATGTACATCACGATCAGCTTACAAAACACAATAAGGAATATATTTTGCATAGCGTCATATCACGGACGTTCGAAATTATTCTCGCAGTTCTTTAAAGCATACTTGTCAGACCCGTTTCGAATCATCATGTCAAAGGATCTATCATCCTAGGGCACTACGTCTCGCCTCGATTCGATCGAATCATCGATATCTGATTCGTGAATACTTTAACAGAATTCGGTATCGATACTAAACAACATCACACGTTTCCTCGATTATGACAATAAATCGCATATTCACGAAAACCATGGAGGTTAACGATGTAACAGATTCAAATTCCTCTTTCCTTTTTAGCTAAAGTTATGTATTAATGATTGTGCTGAATACCAGAATTGAGCAATCGATTGTAATGTTCATGGTTATCTGCTGAGCTCCATAGAGAAAGTCACGAGTAACCACGTCTTTATTCTGGTCCATTGACAAAAACGATGCGATGATACTAGAGTCGGTATTATCATGCTCCTATTTATTATTGACCTGCGGATCCAGCATGTATACATTGATTAAACACTCGTACGATCAGTATCACCAAATCCTTCCTCATTTTATATGCGCCTGTAATGGCATCGTGATGATCGGTGCTAGGTCTCTGTACGTTCTAATCTACAAACTATTTTTTAAACAGTATGGTAAGTGAATCGTTCGACATGAATTCTGCATTGTTCTGCCAATTAATGAGTTTTATTAACTCATAAATTAGTAATTATTATTGGGTCAAATTGGGTATTTGATAAATTTAGGTGTAAATTTAGTAATTATTATTAGGTGTAAATTGGGGTGACTCTGATTCAATCAGGATAACTTTGTCCCAAAATGAGAAACTGATCATTTTCGATTTCATAGCTCTGAAAATTGTTAAATTAAGTTGATTTTCACGTGAAGAAATATTTCACACAGAAATGCCTGCAAAAGGATTGCAAAATCAAAAATTATTTTCTGAGTTTGGAAAAAAGTTACCCCTGACTGGGTCAAAGTTACTGCAATGAACGGTATCAATAAGTCGTACACTTTTTTGGTAAAAATCTGTATTCGTTTCGAAATAATTCAACTACCTATCCTGTATTAATAATAATCGTTATTTGATCCGCTAGTCCTCTACCATTTTTACTAAACAGAAGATTGGAATGATTTTCTAAATTTGAAGTTCATCGCCACCATATTGGAAATATAGTGAATCACTTATTGATGCACCTAATATTTTTTCAGCGTTCGATCCAGTGATTATAGAGCTCGAGGAAAAGGAGAACAAAGAGAAATGTAATTCTTTAGACGAAGTCCTGGGCACCCTTAGCATGACCAGTTTGATGTATTCTTTGTATTGTCATCATAAATATCACGTCCTCGGTGCTTTTGTTATAACAAATTTGACGGTTCTCGATATAATGAAATTATGGAAGACGACAACGACAGAATCACAAGTATTAGTTTTTATCAAATATTATTAGTTGTACCAATAAGTAATCCAAGTATTATCTTCACGAAATCAGTCTGTGGTTCTATGGAAGTCAAGGATCTATTCTATTTTATTTATATTCGTAACGATTTTCCAAGATCCTGTATCCCATTTTTCTTCAGCGGAGGTTCAAGAAAATATTTTCGGTTTAAAATATACCATTTCAAAATTAAGAACATAGTACATAGATTACTTATTTAGTAGAATACCTAATATATGTAATAGTTCAATTTCTAAAATATTCGTCATATTACTTTCACTTCAAACGAAGAATTGCCTAACTTTCGCACTGTTCTTGTACTGAAAAGTTTCAATATCGGACAAACAATAGAACAGTCAAATTAAAAAATTGAAAATACGTGTTAGGTGGTATTAATAAAAATTAAAACATATTTTCTTATGTTTCCAGGAAATTGATACTTCAGAGATTTATTATACTTCTATGGAAGCAATGATGTATATGTCTAAAAGTGCTATATTCATGGGGGTGCTTATTAGTGGATACTTTGCGTAAATATATTGACGTTTCTCGACTTTATAATATTATTCCGTATTTTTATATTTAAAGTTAATTATTTGTATTTGTTCTAGATATTCAGTAGGTAACAACTATGCACTAGTGGCTAATTATCCTTACCTGCTGACCACTTGGGCGCTAACTCCAGAAGGATTCTATCAAGGATGGACGATACAACGAACGATTAACGATTACATGATGATGGCTTATGTCATTTGTATGACAGAAGCACTCCGACAAACACCTAGACCGTGAACATTGTTACCAAATTCACTAGAGTTACTCAATATTCTATCGAACATAATTATTGAAGAACTTACTTTTCAACAAGTTTAGCACATCATTGTATATGATTCAATGTTATTACGAATCAATACATTTTTTGAACATGAAATTTATTAAAATATTCTATGTTTATCTACTACTTACAACAAGTAGGGTATAAACTTTAATTATTGCAGTGTGAACAAGAATTTTGAGATTACTTTATTACTGTTATATTTTTTAATAAAATGAACTGTGAAAAAATGAAGAAGAATGAAAAGAATAAATAAATGAATCAGTGACTGATGCTAATTTTCTCGGAATAATAATTATTATATAATAGTCTGTATACAATAATTATTTCGAGATTAGTACATTAGTTTTAATAGTTTGTATAGAATAATTACTTACTGATTTTGCATCAAATTCAATAATAATAGAAGAAACCTGAATTAAAATTTCTAGAAACTTAATTTATTAAATAAATTCTAAATTCCATGAAACTAAAACAGCAAATAATAGTAAAGCAATTTTACAGCCGAGAACAGTGTTTTCGTTCTCGATTAATATTATTCCTAGACCAAATATAAACCCCGTAATTTTTCGATAGACTCTATTCTCGAAAATATCGATAAACAGAGACTTCTATGCGGTAGGAATCATTTTATTCGGTGAAATTAATTCGTTATTGGATGCTGATCGTTCGAACTTTATTCCGTTTACACTGTACGCAATTGTTTTTTTTTTCTCTCTCTATAGCTCGCTTTACACATACGCACGCAATATGTACAAAAAGAGGTCTGTCGATTAAATATAATAACAGCGGTATCACGGTTTAGGGGAGCAAAATGAAATGTAAGCGTCGTCGCTGTGATAACTGTCGCACATGAGTGACAGCGTGTATAGATACCCGCTAGTACGACACGAAGTTAACCAAGAGGTGTTATTACGTTAAATTATCGTCTACGATAGTTTATCCTATTCAACCGTCGACTGTCATACGACAGTTTTCTTACAAGTTATTGCTATTCACCGGTCAGTTCGTTTATTCTTAAATATCTAATCACGAGTAAAAAAAAAAAAAGAAAAGAAACAGTACGTTTCGTACTCAGGACTGTCTATAAGGATTTATAATTTTATAATTTTATAATTATGCACCTCACATTTAACATGCGAGTACAGTTGCTTACGTGATAAGGTGTATATTTTTTTTTCATGATCTTTTTTACTTTTACTAGAAAAAAATGTTTTAACGACAGTCCTGTACCACTCATTCCATCATAAATTATTTTCTACTCAACGGCAGTCTTTTTCATACTTTTCTATCCACTCTCGCGTCATCGGATTAACGAACAATTGCTATAGGGGAAGCGCTGAAATTACAGGAAAAATAGAATGCTATGATTCTACGATTTTCAGCGCGACTGTGCAAACTATAGCCATCAACTTCCTCCCATTCGGTTCACACTGCACAATGAAGCTGGCCATCGTCACAATCCACCTGAAACATTTTAAATCCTTGAATAAGTTTCCTAGACTTTCACTGTTCTAATACACGAAAAATTTGTTCAGTCTACGTTAAAAATATTTAAATCGTTTTCATACCTAACGATTTGTTTGACTTTTCACATTTATTAATAACTGATAGAAAAGAATGGTGGATTACGCATTTTAACATCTAGTGTTTATTAAAAAATTCAGGTGACGTATATCTATCGTATTTCTGTTAGGTAATCAGGTGATTTGAAACACGTTTCTTCTTAGTAAAAATGTTATCTCGTAAACAAAGCCTCAGATAACATTTTTGCTGGGAAAAAACTTGTTCCAAATCACTTTACAAGTGTCCCATTTCAGGAACCTACAACACTTTTGTTACGCCCTTTATTGAGGGTGAGTCAATAACTCCTAACTGAAATAAATCGTTATCTATTAATTGTATCTGAAAACATTTTAACGAATTATGTAGCCTTAAAGTGTCTCAGCCGATAAAAGAAATACGTATTCCTTATTGTTGACTGTTTAACAGACATACGAAGTTTCATCAAAATCGAAGGGGGACACTTTTTTTTTATTTGAAAGGGGGACATCTCCGTGTCTTCCCTTGTCAGTGTGACAACCGAGGGTTAAACGTACGAATTTCATTATTCTCATGTTTTCCAGCTTCCAAAGTGAAAGCAGATAAGGCTTAACCAAATCACCTACATTCACGTGGTGGTCTCGCGTCAGATGTTGGTGTTGGCCTCTCTCCACGTGCTCTGACCTAAATTGTGAAGTCGTAGACTGCTCCCGCTATTCTCGTCCGGTTCGTACGCGGTGTTCGCGTGTCCGGCGGCGTGACCCTCGAAAACGTCCTTCACGGAGATCTGACTGCTCCTCGAGGGACGACCTTGAATACCCAGAGGATTTCCGGCCACCCCGTAGATGTTGTTAGCCCCGAGTGTTTGCATCTGGGACTTCCGTCTCATTGCCATTATGCTATTCCTGCGACCTTCAAAAGCCTTGAAGGCCTTCGCGGAACGTCTCGTTGACATGTTCCTCGGCAGACCTGGGTCATAAAATTACCAGAAAAAAATTTTTCTACTGCTAATAAATAGGAAACCTTCAGTGGCGAAGTCTAGGAATAATAATATTCCCGCCTTTTTCTTTTTAGAAAATGCTAAGTTTTAGTACTTTTAATGAATTTAAAGATAAGGAAATTTTTAGTAGATGTTTAATTTTTCAAACATAAATTTTTTTCTTGTTATACATATATGTATAGTACTAAGGACCTAACATACGTATCTAGTATGGAATTTTGGGACATTAATTCATATAGAATACATCATATACATAGGTTCCCAACGTGGGCGCTGAGAATATCTGAGGGGCGTTCTAGTTATCTTATATTCTTGTATTTTCAATCTATCTTTTTAAGACTCTATGATGACACGCACAAATGCACTTGGAAATTTTGATAATAGAGATACACAACAAATACTTACATGGAAGTAGTATTTTGAAAAATATTTGACACATATTTTTATTTAGTTGCTGACATTCATATCTAGGGTGTAAAAACAGCCTTCAAATTTGGAAGTGGAACATACATTTTCCTTAATATGTATCTTGGAAACTATTCGACTCATAGAAAATATTTTTTACAGAAAACTGTGTGTATTTAAATAACAATAATAACTAAATAAGTATTTTTCCGAAGGACCGTTCTGTTTAAACAATATATGAAGGAAAATGTACGTTTTAACCCCCAAAACTTTGAGGCCTGTTTTCATCCCCTAAATATGAATATCAATACCTACTACGTGACAAATGTTTTTCAAAATATTACCTCTGTACTAAACTGCATAAAAATCGTGATCAGTACATATCATTAGATGTGTTCCAATGTACAGAAAGAAATATTTACAAACAGTAAATATTTCTTTCTCTTTGGAATATTACAGTTCGAGTATTTCTTTAATCTTTTCTCGACCCAGATGAAAAAAAAGGTAACACATGTTATGTTATGATACTTACCGAATTCGTCTTGAAATCCTCTAACAGACAGGCGTAAAAAAATTATAGGTATATTTGCAAAAAAATTGAAGGTGACCTTGAAAAATCATGAAAAAAAAGAGTTGACAAAAAATGTGCTATAATCACCGTTAAAGCTCTCTTGAAACCATGCTATATCTGATAAAAACATTTTCGATCGGACGTAACAGAGTAACCTCTACTGATCACGATTCGTGGTTCACCCTGTATATTCGTCTCCTGACAATTGTCCGGTCAGAATTCCCCATTACAAAAGATCATCATACGAATTTTTTGCCTTACCGTTCCCATCAGACATGCTGAAGAATCGCTGTCTGAAAGCGACGTCGAGTGTATTGATTGCCTGGGTTTTTCTACGACTCTTTTCGAGGTTTCTTATTGTCTTTCTTCGGCCGGGCCCGCTGCCGCTGCCCTCCTCGTAATCACCCTCCATTCCGTCTAACCGTTGCAAATCCCTCACTATCTCCACCGCGTGTTTCGACAGCAACGCTTCCTCCGACAGATCCTTGGTCTAAACGTGACAACACACATAGCGATTTTCAAATGAGCCGAGTATGTAAATCAAGCTGCCATTAACAACGCACCTTTTTGCAACAGTACCAGTCCAGGCTGGTGCTGGCCAGAATATGGGCGAACGTGCCAAATCGATGGAACAACATCGCGGTGAATTGAATGACCAATATCAGCGCGAAGAAGAATACGAACACCAAGCCGATTGGCTCGAGCTGAAGGTATTCCTTTGTGATATGTACCTACGGAATGGGGTCCATTGTTAGGCGACATTGACGGATCGGTCTCGAGTCGAGCTTAAAAGGCAGATAGAGGTGGAAGGAAGTAACACATAAAACAGTTCTCGTTTTTTGTGATCGTTAATTGCTCTATATTTCCATTGTTGTTTCGTCGTTTTCGAAATGTTTGCGCGGTGAGTACGGATAATACGTCTGTAACATGGTACAGGGGATTTGTAATAGGCTTTTGTAATATGGTATTCTTGGTACGTGGTTTCGATGTAACATGGTTGAAAACGTCACGTGGTATTCTTGGAACATGGTAATGGACACTGTTGAACAATTGCGTGAATCCTAACCACAACACAGTTCTGATATAACACGACTGGATAAGATTTTCATGTAGGGTAAACGCACCAATGGATGAACACTTAAGAGATTATGTATGTACCAAAGTCGAATTTTAAATGGTAATAATATTAATCGATATTTGGAATTTGTCAGTGCCCAGATTACGAAAATGAACGTAAAATATTAGTAACAGTACTACTCAACCGCACACTCTGTTTTCCACTCTGTATTAGTTCTTTTTTACGCGATCCTAATATCGAAGGCCTGAAATTTATTTATAATTTTCTCAAACAGTGTTCTGTAAGAATCTAATTATAGTTAAATATTAATAATCACTAATTGTAAACTTTACTATGTAATCTAGTTAATTATAAGTTGAATTTAAGCTACTGTAATTGTTATATAAACCACATCAGGTTTAAAGCAATAAATAAAAAAATACAATAGATATCTGGCACATGAAATCAGATTTTTTAATATTTATACCTTTTGTTACGTATAGATTTCTATTTAAAAAATTGGAAAAATGTAATTAATTCAAGTGAAGAGAAAAAATACAGATTTTACCAGTGAATGAAAATTAAAACCAGTAAATGAACATTTGTAACCAATGGCGCGAAAATTGTTTGAGTATGAAACAAGCAGTTGAAAAAAATCAGTACTTAATCAATTGCTTATTTGAGTATCTTAATTTACTCGTTTTTAAGGATAATGTTCAGACACTAGTACGTGTTCATTTACTAGTGCATCCACCCTAGCGTCGACTTTTCACACTACTGCATCAAAAAAACTCGAATGGAATTTATAGTGGAATTTCGACTTCAGAAATTTATTTAACAGAGTTTCCATGTACCAAGAATTGACCATGTTAACAGAGTATTGTCTGTACCACCCGAAACTCTTTTTTTCTAATTTTATTCAAAACCGATTTTGCAACAAAATGAAATTCAACGAAATAACAATGTCCTCCTCTTCGTACGCAACGAATGATCTTTGACAGAATAATATTTAAAAAGCTTTCTTGAAATTCTTTCAGTCATCAATTCCTGTGTCATAATTAAACTGCAGATTTTTGTGCAAATATAGAACTTCATAAATTAATTGTTGAACTGTGAATTCAAAGAAAAATTGATTAACTTTGTTAAGGTTTCTAGTAGGTTCGAAGTAAAAATGTAAATCTGAATAATATTTTCGAAACTTTTTTGCACACTTAATTTTGGACAATTGGATATTTTATAAATGCATAAAATCAAGCAATCGAGTCGGAATTTAATTGCGATCGATCGTTCGTACGAACAGGATCCACACGTGAGACACAGTACATTTGAAACACATTGACACGTGTAAGCCACCGTTTAGTTACAATCGCACGGTAACTCCGTTAGTGGTGCGCTCCTCTGCTGTCATACCTAGCAGTGCATTATCGGAATTAGACACACAAGAACGTGTAACGAAAACCTGACGCGACAATTCTCCCTCCTTCGTATTCAGGCAGGTGAGCGGAGAACGGGACAAGGTTTCGTGATGTCTCTCGAGCACGTCTCTTTCGTGATCCGTTGTACTGTACAACGAATTGAAAAATGTAAAGGAACCTTCTAAATAGTGAAATATTCGAAGTCATTCGGGCCACGAAAGAGCCAGTGCACGTGAAAGTTTGGAGAACAGACAGCAATCGCTAAAAAATTGTGTATAATTAAATAGTGAGAAAAATAATTTAACGAATAACAAATCAGTCTTAAATATATTGCGTTGAATACTGTGAATAACTTCTGTTTTTCGTAGATTTGTTTCTAAGTTCAAATTCGAAAAAAAAAATCGATTAATTATACGGAAGATTAAATTCAAGGAATCATAATGTTTTTTGAATTAGCCAATAGAGGCTTGGATAAATTATAAATATTTGGAGACAAGACTTGTTATTTAATTATCGTTTGTACTATTCTCGTTGTCAGCGCGGGAAGTTACTTATGAATCGACAACATACAAGGTGTTCCATTTAACTCGATTAATGAAAGTTTTATAGGAAACAAGTCTTAACGTTTATATATGGTGTATTTGACTTTTCTTGTCATATAATGGAAATATATGTCGTTAACCATTTTGCCATGTTCGCTACCAGTGTCACATATGTCCGAATTCCCATTAAAAAAATTAAAACGCAATCTAAAGTAGTAACTTTCTTCTTTATATCTTGCTAGATTATTAATAGTACTCATTATCTGTTTTATATATTATTTAATATTTAAGTAAAAAGGAAAAAAAATTCATTGCACTGAATAGAATGTTGAAAATGTATATAGTGTACATTGTGACGAAGGGTATCCAAACAAAATAGCGATAAGGAAGCGCTAAGTATTCGGACAATCATCGAATATGCAGTAAAGATTACAAAGCATTAGGAAATGACTCAAAATCTAAAATAAGTATTGTTTAAGGGATATTAAAACTGGGTGAATAACGCTTATGTCACTATAAAGCAATAAACATTACCTAAAATATATGATTTTTACGAAACATCATATTTTTCTCGTGAAGACCAAGTGTCCTAATACTTAGGAGCGATAGTGTACATACTTTTTCGTATTTCGAAAATTTTCGTAGTTCGTATATTAATATATATATCCATGTTTCTGTGTTAAACACCCTGTATATCATATATACCCATAAGTTCATATTGAAAATTAAATGTTTTGCGTTTGTTCTCTAAACTTGTTCCAGTTAATGTTAGTCAAAGTAGAAATCCTATATGAGTAATCACATGAACACTAGAACTACCAGCGTTGAATGTACACTAAATTAAATTGTACAATACAATTGTACAGGATACATACTATTTAGCGCAATATGCCATAAGACAAAATGTATAATAAATTAAATGACAACGCAAAATCTAAATAAAAACAAAAAGACTGTAAAATAAGATGTCTAAAAGCGGCCATTTCGATGGTAGTTCTAGTGTCAAGACTATCGCCAGTCTAAAAACAAAGTCCTAGTGGATAAGGAAGGATCGAGTATCTTCGATTAAAGAGGTGGCGATGTTATTTTGTCACCGAGCCAACTAGTTTCTAGCCGGATGCTGGGTCCCGTCCCGTGCTGCATTCGCTCCGGGATACCTGTGCAAACATGTTAATGGTAATCTGCCACGTGCCGATGATCCACGTTATTGACAAAACATAGACATGTCCCAGCAAGTGCAACATTATCACCGGGTACCATTTTCCGATGTGCTCCGACGCTCAATGTAACTCGTTGTTTACTTAAACGGAGCTGATTTTCATTTAATATTTATGTAAATTCTTATTTAATATCATTCTTTATTGAAATTTCTTTTTGGAATTAAAAGGAACAAACGGGAAGTGCCAAAATGTACACGAATTATTTCGATACTCGTTTTAAGAAACACACGAAACATGTAATTTCTAAAAATAGTAAATCTTGTTACATGATGTGGCTGACTCAACTGGTAAAATGGTAACTTAATGGTACACTGTGGACTTTATGCGTTTGCTGAAGCCTTCAAGCAAAATTTCATGGAGCTTCAAATTTACTTTTAACAGAAAGAGATGCTTAATATGTAAAATAAATTTACGTTTAGTTTCTGCCTGTGTAAGTTACTTCGAATCAAAATTTACTCTTAATAAAAGTAGATCCTTAAGATAAAAAAAATTAATTTTCGTAATTTCTGTCTGTGTAAGTTACTCCAAAGAAATGTAATTTTACACAAATATCCACAGTCCACTTCTTATTGTTAGTATTGGATACCGAAAAAATATCGTGCTATTTTATATTATAAATTTAGTCTGTCACAAATTCGTACCATGTAAATGTTATTAAACAATTTCCTAGGTTCAATTGAATTATATATGTTTCCTGTAATAAATTCCTTACATTAATACTCTGTGCATTATATTAGATTGAAGCTGACATCAAATTAAAGAGAGAAATTTATCTACAACTAGATTGTAATACGCATCTACTGTTGTTCATTTAACTTCTACTTTGTATATTAAACGAATATGATTAGGAATTATGTTCTGAATTTCAGTCGAATTGACCAAAACAGTGCACAAACATTACATGACAATCCTAACTAAAATAAATAAATTAAATTTAAAATGTCAGATAGTGGTAAAAATTTACTTTGAATTTATCACTGACAGGAAAATATCACGAACTTTTCTCTGTAACTAATATTAGGTTGTTGCAAAATAAATGTAATGTTTCAACATGCTTCGTTTCGTCCACCTAAGAATCATTAAACATGGAATCATGAATCCAATTGAGTCTGTCGGTTCAAATGGACTTTTTTTGATTAAAAATGTTCTCCTTGCTAAGTCATAATCGTTCAAAAACTCTGCAGTGCAAAACCAACATCTAGGATACATGTCACAATTACTGCCACCTTAAGATTCTAGCATAACCTCATTTAATCATTTTACGTATCGTCCAACTTAAAAATCATCTCAGTGTGGAACATAATATTATTTAACATCCCCTTCATTAAAAAAAAAAAATAGTTTCATACATTAAATTTGAATAATTAATTGATAATTAATTGAAATTTGCGAGCCACCCCTATAACTGTCACCTTAAAAATTAAAGTAGTTTTGTCATACCTTAAGAATTCATTTTGTACAATAACTTGAATAATAAAATTACAACCCTTTCTATAATATAATTCGACACTCAGATTGTATTTTCATTTTGTACCATTAATTTTTAAATACCAGGTACGAATACAAGTACATGCATTTATTTGTTTTTATGTAGATCAGAGTCCCAATTTAACAATAACATTTATTGTACCCAATTCTTCATACATTACGTTTTTATTAAGTAAATTAAATAAAGTGGCAGTGTTAGGGACACTGGCAGTAATTGGAACATTCACCCTATTCCGCAAACAACCCAATAGATTCCCCTTTTCTACGCGAATCACCGCCAACATTATCGGGCGGACACCTTTCAATTTTCGAAACCGAACGATAAATCAACGGTAAGTGGATAGAATTCGTTCGAGCATCGGAGCACACGGGGGTGTTAGTCTCCCGAGGCATCAGTGAGACAGCATCTCTGTTTCTCAATTCCCCCCATCCCCCCCCCCCCCCCCCCCCTGCTTTTGGAACTATCAGGTACCTCCGAGGTCTCCTCGATGAACGTGATATTCGTCTTGACGCCGAGCGGCCAGATAACATGCAGCTGATCTTTGTTCAGCTGTAGCAAGAATACGATCAGAACGAACAACGCATTGAACATAAAAAACGCGAACACGCTCTTGTTCCGCAGCTCGATCAGATCGCTGGCAATTCGTGCCTGTCCGTGGGGGAGCCAAGCAAAAGAAGAGAGAAAAAACAAATCATAGATTAGAAATTACGTAGAAAAAAAAATTACGCCCCGTCCATACGGTCGATTCCTTTCGACTCCTTGCTGGTTCCTCTCCAGGATCATAGTGTCTTTGGGCCGGTTTTGGTATCTAGATCGTTCAAACGCAGCGAATAGGAAAGCAAAATCTGGCTGCGAAACAGTTCGAATGCTGAAATATCCTACTGTCGAACGATCGATGGTTCTTTGATATGTTAGAATTGGAGTTTTTTTTTATTACTGTGAACTGTGTTTATTGTTCAACATGTTAGAATTGGAGTTTTGAATGTATGTATTTGGTCGGGGAAGTTTGTCAGCATTTGAAATGTTTCACTGAATTCGGTGGGGAATAAGTTTTGGGGGGACGTATGTTCAAGAAGCAGGATAACGCGATATGGACGGAGCGGTCTTTACCTCCTGCGAGCTTTCGTCATAAGTGATGTTGGTCTTGATACCGAACGGCCACTTCACGTGCAACAAGTCTTTGTTTAATTGCAGCAGAAAGACGATCAGGACGAAGAGGGCATTCAGCATAAAAAACGCGAACACACTCTGGTCACGTAGGTCCTTTAGATCTTTGGCGATTCGTGCCTGATGCAAGCAGCATGGATCGGTTATTCTATTATTCCGTTAATTATTCCCCGTGAAATATTCCTCAATAATCTTATTTTTTTTATTTTTTTTTTTTTCGTCTTGATAGATTTCGACAGAAGTGAATCGTTTTTACGAGATGTTTGATTGAGAGTGTAAATCGTAGAGAAGGATTCAACAAAAATATCTGCTTCATAAAATTCGAGGCTCGTCTGCCAACATGGGCGTAAAAAGGAAACTTTAGAACAGTCGTTAAAATATTTAAAAATAAAATGTTCGAAAAATTGGCCATTTTTTGGAGGGAAAATATTCAGAATTAGTATAAGTTCCTGTAAGATCGAATTAATGCATTTGGTGTACCAATAAATAGTCCACTATTTTTTGTGAAACTAAAAAATTCAAATATCTAACTTATGTGAACAATATTCATTATTTCTTCCTATCGTCCTTATCAAATTTGACTAAACAGTTGATTGCAGAGATATTCTGAATCTAAAATGTATTTCCATCATATTGAAATTGTAGCAAATTACTGATTGGTACACCTAATATTTGAACCCTAGAGCCAGAGTGTGTCACTTTTTAAAAAAATGACATTTTACATGTTTACTGTATCAAATACTTCACTTTTTCCAGTGATAAAAATTATTTCGTTCTAAGTCGTATACTTTTTAATATAGATACATAATAGTCTAGAAATGATATGAAGTTCATATTTTTAAAATAGTGTAAAGTTCATCACATAGAGGAATTAATGCAAAGTTCACTATTTTTACATATAGACACTTGACTTAAATCCAGTTCGAAAGTAGCGATTGTTTCTCGTTCAATTATTACCGAACGGTTCCGAAATTACAAGATTTTCGCACCTTTGATTTGCTCTCCTTTAAAATTTCAAAAGTGTGACTTAATACACTATGGCTCTGGGGTCCAGATGTTCAGAATAAATTAAAACAACCGCACGTACAAAGAAATATCTATAAACAATAGGTTGCTGCAAAAGTTTTAACCCTTTCTAAAATACACTACGCAGCAATTGAATTAAAAAAAAATTGTTCCCTATATTACACTACATTTGTCAACTACATTTTATGCTTTCTTTTTTCACCCCTCAAGAAACTAAAAACCAGAATGTATGCAGCAACCCAATACTAAATAATAACACTTACTTTGTAACAATGAATAAAAAAAACATTATGTCGACAATTCTTTTTTTAAACTGCCGTGATATTATGATAGTAAACATTAAGAATTGGAGATTTTCTAGCTATTGTCTCAAAGCAAAACCGTCATCCGATCCTTATGACGAAATCTGACGTTTCAGAAACTACATTCAATTTAAATTGCAAGAAAGAAATATATCGAAGGTAAAACTATTATCGTTAGACGTACGTTTAAACGGAAACCTTTTACCTTTTCCGCTTTGTCCTCGTCGATGGGATACAGATACTTTTCCAGGAGATCCTTCCAGAACTGTTCCTCTTGGAGCGACAGCACGTCGATTTCACCCTTTTTCAACCCCTCGTCGGTCAACCAGTACGGTCGGCTGTGAAAGTTGCTGCCCTCCCGATTCCCTTCCGTATTCTCACTGGTTACAGTTTCAGTGTCGCTTTGGCATTCCCGATCCTCCGCTGGATCCTCGCCGATGGCGCCAAGATGATCGGCGGTTCGAGAACCCACGGATGAAGCCCGTTTACGGCTCGAACTCGCGTGTCCATGGGGATCCACAGCCCTGAAAACGTTCGAATAACACAACAAGGTGATGAAATAATTACATTAATCGATATAAATTAAGAAATGGAGCAATTAATCAAGTACTGTGTAAGGCAGTTTTTCAACCTATGGGTCGCGACCTAATATTGAGTCGCATTAAATTTGTTAATGGGTCCCGAAATGATAGCAGCTGACTTGTGTTAAATCTAGAAACAGCGTTTTTTTTTTTATTTAAAATCGTTAATCTTACATGTTTCCATAGTTGAATATATATGACGAAAAATAGAATTGAAGTGTTTATTGTAAATCAAAATTCGTCTGAACTTTTTTCTGTAGAAATGTACTGAATGTGATTTTTCACATATAAAAGTCATTGTCTATCAGGCTTTTAAAAATTTTATATTATAAGCGTTTTAGTTGCGGTATCATTACGAACACATAATACAGTAAATCCTCGATGAGTGTTCGAAAGCTCCTCGATACTGTACATTGAATATTTCATAATGTAATGGCCATTAAATAATAAATATTATCGAGAGAGTGCCAGTACAAAGTTACTCTCTAGAAGGTTTTATAATGGGATCTGATATTACTTAAAAACCTATGGATTCCAAATGAAGAAGTTTTTAGTCAACGAACCTTTCGATGCCATCCAAACGTTTTCCGAGATGTTCCAACGATTCAGCTATCGCGACCAACTGCTGTTTCTCGTTAGATGTCTGACCGTGTGTACAGAACATACACTTAAAAAGACCCGCCAAAGAGACTTCAATCGATCCTTCTTCATCATCGTTCGAGCCGACGCCATTTTGGAGGAACCCTAGCAAAGATTTTTGTTTCGCTTTTCGTTTCGCCTCTTCCGCCTCCTTTTTCTCTTGTTCAAGTTCCTGTTTGTTTAACGATACGAATATCAAAGACCATTTAGTCTCGATTAGACACTTTTAATTAGATACTTTCTATCCCCAAGTGCAGAGCTCTTGTTGTTAGAAAGCTGTGAGGATGGTACCGTTACTGGAACAATTTAGATATTCTGCGCACCACAAGACTATAATAATTTTTTTCATTTTAATACCTATTGCCAGGAGAATAAAAAACAATCAGTCGTTTATGTTTGTTATTGTTTTGAAAAATTTTTATGTCAATTTTATCAAGCTCAAAGGTCGAAACGTGTACTGAACTTAAACTGTAATATTATAACCCTAAGAAAATGGATGATTTATTTATTGGAGCACTTAAAGATTCATAAGTTGTGATAATCACAGTCTTATGATACACAGATGATGTAATTATTGATTCTGCGCCTTGAAACAATCAAGAATTAATAATACGGCACAAACGCCAAATTTCTGAGAACAGAATAACATCCAAAGAGTGTAATAATTAATGATAGCAATTTTGACGATTTTATACGAAATGGTAAAATATGTTTGTCAGCTTTTGGTATACAAGTCCCACGTTTGCATTGATTTTTATTATTAGTCCCGTACAAAATAGTTTCACACGACACGAGATTTTACCGAAAACCAAACTATTACAGAGTGCGACACACAAATGTCCTATACCCGAATAAATTGTTCGTGTATCACTAAACACGAAAGCATTTATAAATCATCCTGTATTCCTCGAAGATTCAGGTAACATAATAGTTTCCCAAGAACGTTCGAGCAAACGATAGAATTCACTGTAATTGTTTCAAGACACAAAAATATTAACCCCTTCTACTGAAATGACGAACCCAGTTCTCCATAAGCTCAGTATAACAAAGTACACATGGTGAATAAAAGGTTTCACACCTTCTGGATGATGAAAAAGGTCCTGATAAACATAGATCGAAAAATCAATAGTTTCAAATTTATAAACAATTCCTTCTTTCGGTTAAAATTGTAAAGAAAATTGTAAAATAAACCAACAATAACAGTAAAAAAATAAATGATAAGGTAATCCATTGTTTCCAGACGGTAAAAGTGACTTATAACTCCGAAAATATTAATTTTTCAATCTATGTTTATAACTACTTTTTTTCCTCATTTAGCGAGTACTATTTACTCTACAAGCTATGAACCTTTTTTTTTCACCCTGTATACGCAACGAAGAACTGGACCCGTCAGGGATTTTTAACTAGTGAAGCATATTTACATCTCTAAGCATGACTACGTCCAAGTGAATCGCAGTGGAAAGGGTTAATAACGCCGAAAGACGGTGAACCACGACGAATTCGATTAGTTGGTTAATAATACTGGTTAATTACCGCCGCGGTTTTCTTTGTCAGCACCTCCCTCGTTCCCCAAGTGATATCGTTCAAATTACAGACGGAGTACATGATTAGCAACAGGTACATCGAGGGCAGCGTTATAATGTACATCACGCTGTGTAATAGGCAATACAGTTCCTTGGGGTGCATCAGCGCGGATATACCCAGCTGACTTATCAGCAGCATTAGAAACAACGCGGACGGTGAAAATGCTCCGTCTTGGACGATGCTGATCGCGATCCCGACAAAGACAGCGATCATTACCAACCCGTACAACGTGCTGAGTACCGCTGCCACCATCACCTGTGTTAGACCGTTGTTAATATTAACGTTTCTGCAAACCACGCCGTTGTTTGCCTATGGTGGTTGCAGAGATGACGTATCGAGGAGGATTCGAAAGAACGATCGATAACGGACATCTGTCAATAAATATTTTATGACTTATTATAACAACGAGAAAATTGTTTAACCTGTTAACTGAATGATTATCCGATCGTCAGACTCCCTTATGGGCAGAATTAAGGATGAACAAAAATAGTCTCTGGCGACACATTTCGAGATGCACGTGAATATGATTTAATTCGTTAGACTCAGGAATCTGCAAGTAAATAAATAAAAAAGAAACGAAATCTTGCAGAAATAAGGAAGATTGGTTGAATACAAAGGACGAGTTAAGTTGTCTTTTTTTGTTAACAGGTTGAAACAAGTGTTTTGAAATAATTAACACTAGATCTACCGACGATAAACATATATCTACTTCTATCGTTCGCTAAACACGGGAAACATTTGAATATTTAGAAATTTAGAAATGAACTGATTCCTCTGCTGTTATATCGTAATAAATATCTGAGCAAATGTATTGTTATGACATTTTAATCGTAGTTAGGAAAGTGTACTAACCAGTCGTTTTGACTGGATTGGTAGTTCTAGTGTTAAAGGACTCATAATAAAAACGAATTCTGTCAGGTTTTATTTTTTTCCAGTCAATTAATTGTCTTTTCGAGGTAAATCATGACTAGGTCGTGTTTAATAGTATAGGTTCCACCATTATGCGAGTCTCGCATCTGACTACTAAAATTTGTCATCACAAAAACTAAAACATTCGACAAGGTTCGTTTCTCTAACCAGCCTCTCAATTGTCAGTTAAATATTATTTGACAATCTGCACGATAAATTAACAGGTTATATTCGAGAAATAAGATGAGCATTAAAAAACCTGCATCTCGATACGTCACTCGCATAATCCTTTTTGTTACAAGAAAAGCAAGACATACATTTTCGTACAAAGAAGCGCATTTCCGATTTGGTTGCATCCGATCCTAATGAACCCTAAATATATACACCTGAATGTTCCTTCACCAATGTCCTGATGATTGTGATTACTGATAAATATTCCTCTTCTCGGAAATGATCGGACTAAAATATACACTCGAGAATAAGGATTCTTCCGCTGCAACAATTTCATCAAACGACCAATTTCTTAACATTTTACCTGTATCATCGTTCCTACATTATCCGATCATTACCTTCCATTCCCCGAGCAATATCACCCCAATGTGTCAGAAAAAATGATTTTCCTCGATGGGGAAGCGAAGCAAAGCGACCGTGAACCGTGCGGAAGTGTTACGAACGAACGAACCTTTTTCGTCTTTTTCACTTGAACCTCGCGGGTCCCCCATGAGACGACGTTCAAATTGATAATGGAGTAAAGGATCAGAAGTAGATACATGGAGGGGATCGAGAGGAGATAAATGATCCCGGGCACGATGCACCAGAACTCTTGGGGATGCAAACAGGCTGCTATAAAGAAGGAACTGGATAAGGATATCAAAAATATGGCCGAGGGTGATCCGATACCGTCCTCACCGAGCTGGAGGGCTGTACCTACGATCACCGCCATCATTATCATCGCGTACCCTGTCGACAATATCTGCGCGCACAGAAGCTGAAAGACAATCACGTTGCTGGAGCTTGGACATTACACAGATTAACATTTAAACCCCTTGCCTTACGATTGTTTTTGCAGTATGTTAGCTTTAGAAGAAGAAAGAACTCTCTATTGGTTGCAAGTGTAACATACATTTATGGCTGTCGTCCAATTAACAGAGAAGCAGACGAATAATATCGATTCAGCGTCGATAAGTTCGGGTTATTATATGAAGATTCTAGGGGAAAAACGATCATAGTCCATTTTAAATTTTAGTATCATGTTTCAGAGCTTAGGGAAAGCTATCGAAATATAGTATAATAAATGGAAAAAGAACTGGCATAGGCCAGAAAAATTAAGGGCCAAGAAATACTAGTTTCAGGAAAGAACGTGCAATGTCATATTTTTCCAATGGAAAAATGATCAGAGTCTACCTCGACAGATTAAAGTCTAAACTGTAAAAACAAACTGTACTTTCGTAAAATTTATGAATGTTCAATGTTCTTAAAAAGATTCAGGAACAGATTATAAAAAAAGGAAGATATTACATTTTTGATCGTGTATAGTGAGAGGGAGTTCACAAAGTTTGTTTTTCAAATTTTGAGAATTTTACTTTTTGTGACTACGGTCATTTTTCCTTAGCCTCTTTATATATATATATTAGATCGTTGAATAATAAATGTCATTTTTAACAGTGCGTTTCATTTTAGCCATTTTAATTTTCACAAAACTGGGATCAATAAATTTATAACCAGTTCGCAGCAGTTTGTCGATTCAAATGAATTTTACTTTGATTGGAAATCTTCGTTAAGAAATTTTATAATATACTGTTGAGATATTTAAAGGTCTGGGAAAGATCTTGTAAACCACCTCCCCCCGAATTGATATACTCAAATGAGTGTATCCGAATATACTGATTATACTGAGTGTAGTCATTATGTGTACAAATACATCATAATTGAGTACGATGATTGTACTGAGTATGCACGTATATCCGAATATTGACATGGGTCAATATCACCTGATATAGAGGTGATATAATCCACACCACCTGTTGAATTATTAGTGAAGCTGATCATACACCATTTATGCACAAGATAGGGTGAAATTGGAGCCATGTTTCAAGGGCTCGATTACTGACACTTTACTGTCCTAAAATAACATTTATTATGCACCAACGTAATAGTTCAAATATGAATGCGTCCGCAGCAACTAAAGAATCTTTCTTCTGATTCCATTGACTTAAATTTATCATATTACTTTGTTGTACCTATTTTTTTCTTAATTTCGAGGCCTTGTATGATTGACACAATTTTTTCAATACTTTAATTTGTATCTACTATCAAAACAATTATAATAATTTCTTCAATATTAAATTCTGACATTTCCTGTTCCGAATGTTGCTTACGGAATATAAGTGCTAACGTATGTAATGATGCCTATGCAACTGAATTTTATGCTGTTAAACGAACGACATTCTTTACTCTAATTATTAAATATTAATAATAGCAAAACAGTTCATATTTCGTGTCAAGTTATTCAAAATGAATAATATTCACATTTACGAAATTTAATATGCAATCTTACCCACGAGTCGGACCTAATGTTACAAGGCAAGGGGTCACATCGAGCAGTCCAACTTACCTGAATGTTTGCTTTACACGTGAAACAAACAAGCATAAAAAGCAGAATAGGAATAATGTTGTAATAGAAACTGGTCCAGTTGTCGATCTTGAAAGCAGCCACGAAGGCACCCACTAACATAAGGAAAATCGTGCCTGGTCCTAAAATTGTACCACCTGAAACAAGGAAGAATGGCACCTGAATAAGATTCTGATGGTTTTGGGGTTTGTTCAGTTTTTTAGTGGATATTCGACTGACCCATGAGCAGAATCTGGTAAGAAATGTAGGGAAGAGATATGTTGTCGTTAATTTTGATAGTTTTTTTCGCGTCCATTAGAAGATCCATGATATTTGCGATGGTGGAAGGCACCCATCGACGACGTTGATTGTAAAATTCGTTGAAACCTTCCGGTGCGTGAGTGTAAGCGTCACTGGCCGCGGAATATTCAACCTGTAACGTTTATAAAAAAAAATCATTTTTTTTCTTTAAGAAAAATTTGTCCAACTTTCGTGTACCGTTCCACTAAATTTGACCCGAAATTCCAGTTCGACTTTAATTACAATTTTGATTCCAACAATTTATCCACTAACTTTACATCACTAATAAAATATTGCTTCTTGAACAGTTTACAAGGATTATGAAGTATCAATTATTAATTTTCACTTAATTAATGACGTAATTTCTTTTTTTTTATTATTAATGTGATGTTATTGGGTCAACACAAGATTTTACAATGAAACATTAAAAAATGTGTGAACAATATCTATTTCCAACTTGATTTCAATTTTCTAATATTTTAGTGTCGTAAAAGATCGAGTTTACATAAAAACTTCCAGTTTCTGAGTCTTTTCTCTCGATATATAATTTTTCTTTACCAAATCCCCAATGTCGCGCTGTAAATACTTTATAACCATTGAACCTTGTAACGTCTGCCTTTATGCTCACCCTGTAACCCCGTTGCAATAGCAGCGTACAAAGCCATCGATCCTCGCCCTGATCGTACTGTACGTAATGTCTTGCCTCGTCGGATCTGGTGGTGTACTTCTTCATCACGTTATCATCCATCAGAGCTTTTCCTCTGAACAACGAGAAACAACCAGGACTACAAAGTACACAACCGATCATGTGCTCGGTCGCTTTTTGCAGCCAGTGACCGATAGCGTACTCGAACATCTGGTACCAGACCATGGGACCTGGTGCATTCAAAATTAAGTATGAAACATTATTTTTTAGACAGGCAGTACGCTAACGACATTGTAAGGTAATAAACTGAAGCCATAAACAGAGACTTCTTTGAGATTTGGGTCCAATGGTCAATTTGAAGACTCATGATGAAAAATAATTGACAGCTCTATCAATATTATGCAAATATCTCTGTTTTATATTTTTCCAAAGAATGTTGTGTTATTGTGTCTTTTTAAATATAAAATTGAGTTTTCAAATTCAAAACAATAATAGTACACTACGTCTTCACTATTGTAATTAGAAGGGAATGCTAAATGTTTCCATTGTCTGTCAGCTATGACTGTCACAATAGTGAAGACGTATTGTACTATTATTGTTTTGAACTTGAAAACTCAATTTTATATTTAAAAAGACACAATAACACAATATTCTAAACAATAACGCAATAATGTCATATTTAAACATTAGAACTACCGAACCCGTCAAAATGAGGGATTTTAAATTTCTTAATTTATCTCTACAGCTTTTATGAGAACTTATATTGACCTCTAATTTATTCCAGATTTTATGTTATACCATATACTAAATTATATTATTATATTACATATCGCTAAATTATGCAATACAATTTTATATAATATACGTTCAATGCTGATATTTCTAGTGTTAAACGATTTTTTTCTTATCTGTTTGTTCAATATTGATGTAGTTCTGGATTTTATACTTTACATTAGTTTCAAGTACAAGACATTACTCTACGCCTGGCTGAGACCTCTAACAATAAGCGTCCTGAGCTAAGTCATTCGCTGAACTCAGGTCGGAAAAATGCTTCTGTTTACTGCCAGCCTCAGTTTACTACCGCAATCGTTACAGTCAGTCAGTTCTATGCATCATATATCGATGCTTTCTTATTAACAAGACTGACCCGAGCCAACTGGATGAATACGACCGCAAGCAGCGCCGAGATTTTTATTCTTCTTCATCAAGTCCACGAGCAATTTCACGGCAGCCGGCTGGAAATCGATGTCACCGTCCAGGGTCAGTAGATAAGTGTTCTCAGCGATAATTTCTTTGCGGTCCACGCTAATTGGCAACTCCATCAGTCGATGTCCCAGCAAATAATACATGTACATCACCTTCAGAATAGAAAAATGTTCGATAAATATTATCGTACAGGTCTTCGTTATTCCAGGTTTTATTATGTTTCGTAAACAAATTGTTGCAAAGTCGTAAAAGTACCTGTGATAAAAAAAAAACTAAAACTATGATCGTACATCTGGACTCCAGAGCCAGAGTGCATTAAGTCCACATTTTTTTTTAAAAATTACATTTTACATGTTTCCCGTATTAAAATTTTCATTCCTTTCGATGGTACAAATTATTTCATTTCAAGTAACTCTTAATACAATAGTGCAAAAATGATATTAAGTCCATATTATGCTTCTAGCCAAACAGTGTGAAATCCATCACATAGGAGACTTTATGCAATGTTCACCATTTCTACGTATCCAGACTTGTCCATTCAATAGTTCAAAAGTTCTTCCTTAAATTCTTAGCGAAAGGTTCCAAAGTTACAAAGTCTTGCACCTTCAACTTGCTCTTCTCTAAAGTTTGAAAAGTGCGACTAATTACACTCTGGTTCTCGGGTTCAGAAATGTATTCAATATTTTCAGTGAGATTCTTCAGTGCAGCATTTTTTGCATTAATTTTCACCGTCACATTTTTTTGAAGCAATGTTTGATCTTTTAACTTTTGGCATACTCTGTACTGAAGCGAAAAATGTACCTGACTCCAACGTTTCCTGTGACGGATCTTGCTCTTGTCTTTCAAATGGGCAATCATCTTCGTTTTTCCAGGCAGCGTCCAGACCAATCGACCTCCGTACGGTGTCGGATACTTCTTCGGCGCCCTCACGTGCATCCTTGTCTGATGAACATCCGATGCAGCTTCGTCCAATGTGCCCACCAACAGCTTCACGAATCTGTTCACCTGTGACTCGTTTTCATCGTGGTCCGACAATTCGAACGCGTCGTCGAAGAATATATGCGCTGTGAAAAAGAAAATGGAAAAAATGAATTCTTTCTATGCATGGGTTTTTTTATAACTTCTACCCCCTCGTCTTAATGCACTCTTAATTTTATTAGATTGGCAACCAAATTCGCAACCTTCGTCTTATTTCCAGGAGAATATTTGATTAAAATTCAACAAATAATAATTTTCAATCGAAGTAAGTACCATTCGAATCGATAATTTTTAATATTTTTGTAATATTCTGCGGTGAAATTCGGGTCAGTTTGAAGGAAAATACGTGGAAAGGTGCGTTGTGACATCGTCCACTTTAGGAAAGGGTTTTCCGGTTAGTGGATGCTGTAGCGATCGGACCAAGTGGTAATGGCTTAGAGCAGTGGTTCCCAAATTTTTTGTAGCCACGACCTCTTTTGGGACGAAGATATTTACTCACGACCCCCCAGGGAGTTGCGACCCATATTTATCTTTTTCACCCAAATAGAATATAAAAGTATGTTAATACGAATTTTTTGTTTTATTTTGTAAAACCTTTCACAACCATCCACAAACTCTTCTGACGATCCCCCAGGAAGTCGCGTCTTTGAGAACCATTGGCTTAGAGCAAGATAACACGAAATCGCTAAAAATATTATGTATGGGGGTCAAGGTACCTGTCCTCAGAAACGGTTTACCACACTCGAAGAATTTGGAATTCAGAAAAAATGAATTCACTTTACTTCATATGGGTGACATCAGATCGATATATTCCTTTCTGAGAAATAAGAAAAGTCACAATACTTACTTCAAGGTACAGTTTTCAACTATCCAACGATTCAAGGATTTAGAAAAGAATGCACGACGAAGAAATGAATCCATGTCGCGTATTCGTAGAAACATATTACGGGATTTGGTGTCGGATAAACGAGGGGATAACATTTCGACGGAGAGATAACTCAATATTAGCTTGTCGGATAAATTCTGTCTATTACTTTCCCTATGGATGAAAATAAAGGGTCCAATACAGACTGAGAAACTGAGCATAGGAGCAATATTTAGAAAGTATTAAATGTAGTTGACGAATATAGTGTAACAAAAGGTATGAACATTTTTTTATGAAATTAAATTGCTAGTAATGTATCGTCGAAAGAATTAGAGATTTCTCAAGAACCTAATATATGCATACTGCCGCATAAAAATTGTAATATTAACACTAGAACTACCGACGATAAGGGTATATCTATTTCTATGGGATCAATCCCCTTTTTTCCATGACCTTGATTGACCTTGAATAATTATAGTCACTGAATTCCTAATGAAAGGGACTATCATTGTAGGTGTTTGAAAAAGGGTGATTCCGTTTACAAAAAGGAAGGTGACCTTGATATCTCTAAAAAAAATACCATAAAAACAAAAATTCTTTTTGGCATCGTGTGAGCCCCATTGAACCATTCAATTTTGACCTTGAGACATTTGACGTATTTTTAAAAACAACAAAGATATTTGAAGTGCAAACCTTAGGTGATTCACCCTGTATACATATATTCGACGATTTAATACAGCCTTCTTCACTGTAGCAGTTACTGTGTTAATATGTTTCCTATCGATAAGCGTGGAAATCAAAAAACCTATTAAGGTGCGTGTCCATTTATTGTGTATCCTTGTATCGTATTACCATACCATAGATTTTCATATCGATGCAACACTTGCTCGTCCACATTGATACAAAACAGTGATACGATACGATACGCAACAAGTGGATACGCACCTTTAGAAGGTTATCGATCGACCGGTAAGGTGTTTAAAAAAATTACTGTGTTCTATAGGGAAGAAAGATGACTTACTCTCGAATTCATAGTAGTCCGGATCGACAACCTTCAAATATTTTTGGGCGACACGTCTCGCGCATTGATCCTCGTCCAGACGCAGGATACTCTTTAAGAACTCGATCATCTCCTCCTTGTTCTCATGCCACATCGTCGCGCAGGCATAGATCCTAGTTACGTGATCGCTGCTCTTTACGGCCGAGGGTGGTGTCGTTGAGCCGTCAGTTTGCTCGTATATGGTCTCGTAATCTCCATCCCCTTTTTCTTTCTCTATCTCCGCCAAATCCTGTCAGACAAAAACATCCCTTATGTTTTTACACGTTGCACCACCACGATATCCTTAACCCCTTGTCTTACAACATCGAGTCAGACACGTGACAACGATTTTAAACTGAATTGAGTAAACATGTGTATTATTCGTTTTCTTTGAGTCGACGTGAAGTACCCTTTCGCTGGTATAAACATTTATAGTTCAGAATAAATGTAATTCTTCAAGTCGGAAAAAAAAATCGTATGACAATGGTTTGATATTAAAGTCCTTCTGTACGATCTTTTCACCTAGTTTCGACAGGTTGTTGCGCCTTGGACGTATTTTTAACGAAAATGATCTTATGTTTTTAAATGAATATCACCGAATTTTTATTAGAAGCACGACTGTGCTTCAAACATAAAGTCTGAGAAGTATTTAGAGAAATTTGAAACGTTGGAACATATATGCTGTTTTTGAGTGTTATGCAGCTATAAAAATCACAGTTTTTATAGTTGCAACAATAACTACATGTTTTTTGATGATGCAAGGTGAGTTTCAAGAATGGAAAATGAAACGATGTCAAGTGATTGAAATTCGCTCTAATTTTAGAAAATAATATCGATAAACGTAAGTCTTTTGGATTACTGTGTATAGAAATGATTGTTTCACATATAATGTTGAATTAAAAACGTGACAATAATTGCTTCATAAAATCAATAATACCTTAAATGAAATCTGTAACGCAGATGAATATGTGAACTGTATTAAACTTATAAAAAGGTCATGCAATGCATATTATGATTGTGAAAATAATAAAATAATCCTGGAATTTAATCGTAACAATAACAAAATATTCATACGAATAATACGGCATACTTCATTCAGTTTATGAAAGCTTCGTATGTGCACCGAAAATCCCCATATCTCCAAAATAAATAATGAAACAACGTCGGAATTTAATTGTAACAACAATACAATATTCATACCAATAATATGACACATCTCATTGAATTTATGAAAGCTTCTTACATGCACTACCGTCCAGAAATATCCGGACACTTATACATATAATGATGCAAATCTGTGAAATATTTTTCATACGAAATGTGTTTATCGATTTTTACAACTTTATCCTATCAAAAGTGAATATATTAAATTGTTCTAGAATAACGTGAGTAATATTTATTAACAAACAATGTCGATAAAAATACTATAACCAAAGTAGAATGACAAGGTATACATGGAATATGTACAAAAAAAAAAACAAATTTCTTGTGCTTTTATGCGTTTAAACTTAAATATCTCTGTAAAATAAAACAGTCTTGGAATATAATTATCGTTATATTAAAATATTCATAATATCGTATGAAATAATCCATTCAACGTACGAAACCTCTTATAACCGTATTGAACCGAACCATTTGAATATTATTAATTTCTATGACAATTTTGACCCTTCAGGCGTCCTAGTCTTAATACGAACGTTCCCTTCGCAATTAACAATAGAAACTGCATACCTCGACTTTCACTTCCGGTTGATCGTCCCGTTTCCGATTCAAGCCCATCGATTGATCGATCAGCAAGGAGTCGTACATAGGCATCACGAAAAGCTTCTCCGTAGCGGCCAGACGTTCGCATTTCGGTGTCCAAACGTGCAACGTGATCCAGGTCTGGGACAGCAACCAGAGCAGCCATACCCAAGCGTATTGTTTCGACACGAAATCGTTCAAAAAATACAATGGCGGCGACTCGTAGAACAGATAATTCGGAATCGTTCCGTAAAAGATGCATGGATCACCGTTTCGTAAACCACAAGCGGCGATCAGCAATGAGATCGATACCGGTATCGTTAGATTCACAGGGAACGCGTAACTGAATCCTTGTATCAGAATCTTGCAGGCGAATTTACCTGAAAGAAAAAAAAAAGCGCGCTGCATTTCCATTTGTGAACGTTTTTTAACATATTTTCAGATTCTTCTCGTTCGCTACAGTCAGATTAAACAGGATTAACCGTTCAACGCTGCTGTACAACCATTTTCTAAAGTGATCCCTAGAGCTCCCCCGGTTTATTATTTCTCATCTTCTTATACAAATTCGCAGAAGCGTACTGTCTGCGTTTCAGGAGATCCGGGGAAAATTTGCATATGGGTAGAGAAGCTGAGAGGAGGTGGAGGGTTTGGTATGACGTAATTTAATAAAGGAAAGGTCGCCCTCTTCAACAGCCAATTCATTTAGATCTGACTATAACTTCAGAGTCCCGACAAACCCCGTTATTCGAGTTATTTGCGTTTTAAACGTAAAGGGGAATATTCACATTCTTCGTGCTGGTGATATATTAGATTTCTTTAGTGGTACTTATAAGGGCTGTTTCATTTTGCATATTTCTTTATTGTCGTCGTCGTGTGATAAGTATAAAGGCTTTTCTATTCGCACGAAAAATTGTTAAGGTCTGTTTGTACGTTGATAAAAATAAACAATACCATTAAAAAAAACATCGATGACCTTGAAATTTCAAAAAGTATAACCTTCAGAAGAATTTCTGCTCATTCCAATCAAATAACACTTCCCCTTGCATTGTCTGTATCTTCAAAAACAATTTAATATTGAAAGTATTCACGTTAGGTGGGACACCCTTTATACAATCATAATACAGGCAGGAATTTTGCCACCAAGCTATAAATTAAGGGATAATAACTAGACATCAAGAAGTGATAAAACTAATATAAAAAAAATCTCATTTTTCAGCATTTTGTGGCATAAGTTCTTGCATTGGACTCAATTTCATACGTGTCGACAGAATGAATGAAACGTACTCACCGAAAATATACGCGAAATAGGCGCCGAATATTTGCAACAGCAGAACGTAAATCGGAGTGGTCACGTCCGCGGGTATTAGTCTCTTCTCGCCGATTTCCAACAAATCGGCGATATCCGTGATTCTGCTGGATGACTGGGGTCGAACTTCCGACACAGCGATCATATGATTACTGAAGGCGCTGCTCAGCATCGAGAACAAATGTCCCACGGTCTCTCCCTTCATGTGAAGTATCAATAGAGTGCTGATGAAGAACGCCAGAATCTTCCAAATGGATATGAACATGTAGGTGAAGTAACGCGTCACCCTCAGTTCCTTTTTCACCCGTCCCAGCGACCGCACAAAACCTGGGAACGAAAATGCAGGCAAAATTAAACATGCAAATAAAAACTTTTGAAAACCTCCTTTCGTTCAATTTATTTTGGAATAGAAACGTTGTGAGTTCCGAAATAAAAATATTGTCCGATAAATGGAAAACAATTAATCTGCCGCCATATTAGTTAGTGATTACCGACAATCCAGATTGTCAATCGCAAAAAATCTTTATTAAAATTGAACTTTATGAATATTCATATGGACTATTTTACAGAGAAGAAATCGGTATTTTTTCTATTGAGAGGACTCAGCAAGGGAATTTTAGTAATCCGAAAATTCTCATTTATTTTTAAACTTGTAGGCGAACTCATTAGAAGTATCAATTTGTCTTTTTTCCTACTTTTTGATTCTCGGGGATAAAAACACCCCTTAAATGTTAATGTGCGTTTTCCTATTTTTTCGTATATTTTCAGAAATATAGAAATAACAAAATGTATATGTTAAAAACATGTATAAAAAATAGGTATGTATATAAAAAAATTGTTAGATAGAAAATATAATGCCCTTTTCTGCCGTATAAAACTGTACTGAAATGGTTGAAAATTTGTGGTTTAAATAAATCAATAATTTCTTAAATATTTCGTTGCATAGTTTTATAGAGCATGCAAAGCCATTTAATTTTCCTTACTACAATTGTTTTATATCTACTATAGTTTTCAAGATGTGCAGGAAAATAAGAAAACACACATTAATCTTTAAAGGGTGTTTTCACCTGGAAAAACTATTTAGTAGCAAAAAAGGAAAAATTCTCCGATACTTGTATTGAGGTCCCCTACTAACCCTGCAAATTTTCAAAAGAATCGGAATTTTTTGAGAACCGAAGTTCCCTTCCGAATTAAAGATAAAATAAGAACAGTATCAAATCTTAAAGTTTGTTTCAGAAAGTCTGATTAATGCATTGAACCTATAGTATAATTATTATTAATTCCCAATACAAAAGAGGATATATGTAGATTGCCAAGCACGATACCACTTCAATAAATCCGCTATAATAAATCTCTGTCTACGCCTGGCTGAAATCGTCGAACGAAACAAAGTAGCAGCGAACGCGTTAAAATTCAAGGAGCTATTATTAAAAAATGATCCATACAACCGTTCCTGACTATCTTGCATTCGACTTCACGTTTGTTACCTCTCCGATGCTTACAAACCCACTATAAAAAAACTCGATAAAAGAATAAACATAAATGTCTTCCAAGTGTTTTTTTTTCATTTTCGACGGCAGCCTGAATTATCATAGAAAAAGAACGAAAATAATAAACATTTCCAAGTCGTTCGTTCGATTGAAAAGAACAATTGAGAGCGGAATAAATGCCAAATAATAGTACTTGAGCGTTCAGGCTTTTAGAACTTATTAAAGATCGAAGACGTCCGAGATCTTTTTAACAGTTTTACTACTTTCATACCGATCTACTCCTATTCGTTGGCACGAACACGTTCCTTCCGTGTGTGTTTCGTCGATAGTTGCATCAGACAATGGTTATGTTACGTACCAAAGATGGCTTTGTTATTGAAAAAATTGTTTACGTACCGATCGGGCTTTGCATCGAAACATAATTTTCCCACCATCCGCACGAGACCAGGAACAACGCCGGCGGTATGAGCCACAAAGACGGCCGGGAGCTGTCCAATAATGGCCAAAGGAAGAAACTTGTTCCTTGGGCGGCCAACGCGGCAATATCGATCAGCACCAGGACAAATCTCTTCGATTCGTCTTTGTTTTTGTTGCGGGAGAGAAGCCCTTAAAGAAGCGAATCGCAGGTCTACATCTTAATGCAATTCGAAATAACCTCGACGACCACCGCGCGGCGATCTTATCGAGGTAAATGTCTTCATTTATATCGAGGATTACACTTCTTTTTGCCAGTGAGTGTTCGACTTTAAGAGGTCAGAGAATCTTGATGTGTTCAAAAAGTACCGTATTTTTTGGAAAGTTATTTCTAAGTAAGTGAGAAAAACAGCAGGCATTTTCTCGTTTGATTCGAAAATAACAAAATGCTGATGTAAACTTGATGTAAAATGTTTATTTTTTTGCAAGGAAATGACCCTTTGTTTATGCATTCAAGTTAGATAAAAATTGAAATACCGAAAATATACTACGTTGAACGATAGACAACTTGGATTTATTTAGTATTTCATTTGTTCAAACTTTGTTTCGGAAACCTGCTCATCAGAAATCGACAGACGTATTTGTTTTTAAAGAGAAATTAAGAGAAAACTTGTATATACAGTAGCAGACAGAGAAGTTACAACATTTTCGATTTGTTTTGTTTTTATTATTTTAAACATCTACTTAAAACTTTAGTATGTGTTTAACATATATTCTGATACAGAATTAAAATCTTATAAACCCTGTATATTAAGGTTTTCAGTTGATGTTAAGAAATAATAAAAATAGAAAACATCAGTAAAATGGTAACATTTTTGTTCACTGCTGTATAGACTACTCATATATGTTTCTATCTGTATTGAATTCGTCATTTAGTACATAAATTCCTAAAAATACGGTTTCTTTTAAACACATTAAGGTGGTCTAAACCCTTAACCTGTTTATGATGTCTTTCTTGGAAATCATGACTGATCTGCACTTTATAATTAAGAGCATATACTTGTCAGTGAAAGTAAAGTATATATTCATGAAATCTTGATAAAATTACGCGTAACTTATTGTTCAATAAAATAACATGAACTATAAAGTTTTGCAAAACTTATATTTTATATTCGAACATTCGATTCAAATTATTCTGAAATTTCTGTGGTTATAATATACAAACACCTAATTGTACACAGAAATGAAAATGTATATGTATTAAACTATAGAAAGACAAATGAAAATTAATAATACCTAGCATTAACTCATTATAGCTGATAAAAGAAACTTTGTGATACTTCGAAGTATAACAATAAACTTCCTCGCCTTTTTTTACAGTTATTTATTATATTATTTTCTCGGTAGTTAATAAATTTGTCCTTGCCTCATTTTCAATTAACCATTAATTGATTCGGTAATTAATTAAAATTATAGTAAGAAATAACCACGGGTTAGTGATAAATAACTTCCATAGGTATTTCATTACTTCCGTCAACGGCAATTAATAATGAACTATTATCAACTATACAATATTACATTGTAATATCACTATACAATATTAAGTATTATGAAATTCAAGAATACAGATTATTATTCTTCTTCAATGATCATTCATTGAATGTCGATCATTTAAGGCGAATGTAATTAGTGATACGTTGACGGTTTAATTATCGTGAGACGGCGTTCCTTACCTAGCAGTCCCGGCACGAAGCACACGCAGTTGGTCAGCATCGCGCCTTTGACGACGTCCAAATCAGGAAGCACTGCCATAAACATCAGTGCTAGACCGACCACGTGGAAGCTCTCCATGAGAAAAACGAGAAGGAAATGTGAAGCAGGCGGTTTCTTCCACGATTTGAAGATACATATTCGGATGCTGCGGATCATCGTGCCGAATTCTGGCACCGCGAACGCGATTATGATGCACCAGATCCACGCTATCCTTTCCTCTTCCGGTAACGAAGCTACAAATTGTTTGTCCCGGCCTATCAGAAAAACAGTGAAATATTTTTTACTTCGTTATTTCAATGAAAATGCATGCTGTTTCTTCAGAATAAACTTTCTTTTGAAATTTCACAGTTGCAGGGAGATTTTGAAAATTAAAGTGGTGAGCCTGTCTCGAATTATTATTCAGTAGAATTAATTTTAATATTATGACAAGGTTTTAGCGCATTTAAAAAAAAAAGATGAAGTTTGCGCAGTGTACAAATTGTTATAATAACTCAGCATGGTCATGTAGCCATTTATTTCTCACTAACATAATATTTCCTTATTTGGTTATCCCTGTGCTCTTGTGGTGAATATCTATGTATATCGTATTAAATTTAAATTAAGCAATCCAGTAATAAATGATTGTAAAATAATTTTAAGGAATGATACAGTTACTGTAAACCCTCAGTGCTCATACGCAAAGAAACTTTAAGATATTAACTGACCATAAACCATTCGAATGTTCAGAAAATATGATAAACTGAGGAAAATAACCAAGATCATTTCAAAGGCAATCGACTTAATTGAAATTAAATTGTCACTTAAACCCTGTTTGTTACTGTAACTACATTAAAGTCTCTAGTGAGGTTACAAGCAAACCAACAGAAGGAACCTTTGTCTTTAGCATCAATGTTTCTCGATAAAATTGTAGAATTATACAGGATGTTATGTAGGGGGTGATTCTACGTGACAAAATGTCGAAAATATATAGAGTAAAATTTTCTTCATTAGAGACATCGTTTTCGAGAAAGTCGACTTTGAAAATCTACCGAATACGCCTGCCATTTAATAGAACTTGGCTAGCGCGTCTGTTCATTGCATTCCCTTTCTACTTACTACGATAGGACGAATACACGTGTTTCAAATTAATTTTCAAAGTCGATTTTCTCAAAAAACGAAGTCTCAAATGAATAAAAAATGTATTCTTTCGATTTATTCTTCCACGTACAATCACCCCATATCTGGTTGTACCACCAATTATTGTATATGACACCTGTATAATTACTTTTCACCATTAAAGATCACATTACTCTTCATTATTGAAGATCAAATATTTTTCTTCAGCCGACACACTCATGTGGTCGACATATCGCGGCGTTTCAACCTGTTTTCACGTACTTTCTCTCCTTTGCCTGCACCGTAGAGCGTATGTATGTGTGTATGTACGTCTTTGCCGCAAAAAGGCTTCGTCGTAACTATGTTACGAGCACGATCTACTTTTTACATTAAATCTTACGCCACCTTCCATACTTATTTTAATCGAACAAAAATTCTATCTCGCTGATTGCCCGGTTGGTACACAATATTTCGCGTAAGTTTCGCATTTATCCATCGTTTTCCATGAAATCACCGTCAATTTTTATAAGTGGAACGAAAATTCAACTTTGCAACAGATGTTACGGACACATCGTGCGTCTCGCTTTCCACAAAATGGGGAAACAGAGCATTTAGGCGAGGCGAGCGACGCGCGAAACTTTTCTCTAATAACACACGTTTTATCGGACTTATTCCGTACATTCGAGTTTCTTCGTTTACTTTTACTATTCGATGTGTATCGTACATTTCTTGTCCAAGTTTTTCGATTCATTTAACTGATGTTTCGTTCGTTTTATTGTAATGTATTACGGTAAAAGTAATATTTTATGTACAGCAATACAACATACAATCTTTTTAGTAATAAAATTACAATTTTGTGTAATAGTAACATACTATTATACTTATGTACATCGGTATTATCAGTGTATTTATAACTGTTCGTAGATACTGATATTAAACGATAATATACATATGAAAGTAAGCACATTTTTGAAAATATTAAGTGTGCCAATAAATAATTCATTATTCCTTCAGGAAATCTGTACTTGCTTCTATGGAAGCCAAGGATCTATATACTGCTTTAATTGTATTTAGTTATCGGAATGATACTGTATCAATTCTATTGCATTCCTTACCCATAAATTACGATACCGTATTAAATAGTATCACACATATGTATAGGTACCAAGTCTAATAGATACCAATTTGATATTTCTACGAATCTATCAATATATAATGGTCGGTACTTTTGAATATACTTATTACCATTGTTCCTTTAATAGGTTGACTGCCACAGTGAAAAAAGCCGTATGTAGCCAGACACACCTTATTTCGATTTTTTAAGTCATAAATCGACGAATGTATACATATATGCATTTAGTCAATAGAAGTTGTTGGTCTTATTTTAAATTATACTGCTTGCTAATATATACTTGGGTGACATTGTAATCACACTTTTAATGAAGTATTGAGAAGATTTTTCGAATTTAAAATAAATATATCGACTCGGAATTAAAAAGATAGTGGATTACTTCCTGGTACACCTAATAATTACTTTGATAAGAAATATAATATACTCTTCAACGTAAGAAGTATAATGTAATCGTTATCAAAGCAATATATTAGGCGTACATGTGCATAGTATTCACTCATTCTCAAAGCAATAATTTAGGTGTATCAATAATTAAATTACTATGTTTTTAATTCTGGAACGATATACTTTAAATTGAAAATGTTTTTAGTATATACTCATTAATGTACTATATGTATACTTCGTGGTACAGTCAATAATATTATAATATCGATGAATCAGAAAAATTAATTACTTACCTAACGCTACATTGCAATAGACAATCGCTCGATCAGCTCTGAGCTGCGACGTCATGAATAAAATCGTTCCTTTGGCAACTACACCGCTCCCCAGCACTATCACAAAAACTAACAGGTAAACGATCACCTTCGTCACTTGTACCGTCACTTCGAGGCATCTTTGATTCGCCATCGATCCGGAATCGATTTTCGGCGGCGGATTCCGGAACACGTCCCATCCTTTCGTTTCCACGACGGTTCTTTGACTGCAACAAAGAAAACGATTCACTTTGATACGCAATAAGGGTAAAATTCGATTAATAATAATCAATAGATTAATATCCGATTTTTAAACAAAATTCTAATCACTTGGAATATTTAACCCTTTAACGGTGTTTGACGAGTATACTCGTCATGAGGAAATGACAAGTTTTTGGGTAATGGTATAGACTAAAAAATAGGATACCTTTTGCTATAAAAATTGAAATTATAATAGGAATTGAGAAATATATTTCTTTTGTTAGACCTTAATGGAATCGAATGGTTACACATTTCCAATACGAAATTCCATTGTTAAAGGGTTAAATACTTGCTCATTCGTGTCATACTGTGTCTCTCTGCAAACAGTAAAAGTGAAAAAAATGGTGACTTTTACATGGAAAAATCAAATTGATGATGTAAAACAACATTTTTTGGAAATTGATGATGGATAAAATCTATTAACCCATTGTTTTTAATACTTCATCAAACGATTATAATATTTTTTAACCCTTTCAGCCCCAAATTATCTAAGAGTTACTAAATATAAATTTTGTTGTATTTTTGTGTATATTAGATGCCATATAAATGATTCACAGAAACATTTTAACATTTTAAAACCGTTCAATGCCATTTTTTATTCGTTCCCATTTGATTACTTTTTTACTTTTATCACAGTTATATACAATAATTCTCGTTACAATGTTATTATTCATAATAAAACCCAATTTGTATTGTATTTGTAACAATGCTCGACACTTGAATTCTATCAAACGAATGATACAAAGGATAATGTCTTATTTTACCGATAAGCTTTTAAATGCACGTTCAAATTTGTGCCAAATCACCTATACAAGCCTAGAAGATACTTTGTATACTCATAAATATGAGAACATACATGATACTAATATTTTATTTCGTAATTTAGAATATGGCAATAGTGGGAACGAAAGGGTTAACGTGATTTCCCTCAATTGTAGAATCGCATCTTTCTCGACTCCAATATTGATTATAACAAGGTATAAAATTTACTGAAACAAGAAGTAAATTCCGATTCTTTTTTTTTGCTTCGATGTTCAATTATATAATGCGTTTAAAAAATCGCAAGAATAAGAAATTACATTCAAGTAACCACTTGTGACGTACTTTGGAACGCATGATGGTTCGACCGACAGAAATAACGACCATCTCCGCGTGCCCTTCTGTTTTTTAACGGAAAAAAAAAGATAATCTGAATGTTTACGAAAACCAAGGTCTCGTCGCAGGAATTGCATACCTTTCGCCATAGTCCTGAGTCAATGGGGTACTCTCGCCGTCCGAGAAGTCGTCCGCGCCAGCGACCGGTATCATTCCATTCGGTTGCTGATTTTTGGCCATTCTGTCAACCAAGAAACATGAATAAAATTTAAAAGAAAATTCATCAAATCACACGCTGGTATACATAAGACTTTACTTAAAATAAAAACCGATTAAATATTTGTCTATTTCGCAACGACACAAAGAGCAATTAAGTGAATTGTCATATTCAAGTAAAAGCTTACTATCCTCACATAATAATATTACCATGTATCACAGAAAATAGAGTCCGTACTAAACGCAAATAAAGTTCTATCGTTACAAGCGCATAAACTTCAAAGTTCAGTGACTTCAATAAGAAACTGCAGTCCAATATGCGTCGAAACAAATTGTTACCTCGACGTTATGAATAAATTTCTCCTTTCTCGGCTGCTCCCATTAAACAACGATTTTCTAACATTTTAAAATTTAATAGAATCTATGAAATTACGATGAAACGGAACGAATCCGTCCCGTTGGTAATGATGCAGTTCAGGAGAAAGTTGGATAACTCGACGGAGACCTGATTGCATATGCATACGGCGGCGTAACAATCGACGGAGAAAAAAGGATTCTAACCGCGACGGATGAATTACCGCATTTCTCCGTGGATCGACAGGCAAAATTACCGAGCGGTCGTATAGCATTTTACGTCTCCCGAAATGAGGCCCGATGACAGAATAAATGCAACGTGTGTAACGGATCAGTTGGCAGCCCCAGCTTTCTAGATTTGTCGCCAATCGGTCAGTCGCGTGACTGGTTTCCATAGGGTAACCACCATACCGTCCTTTTCTGCGGGAAAAATTTATCCTGCCACGGCACTTTGCTTGCTACCGTTTCACTTGCGAAATTTCCTCGTTAAATTAATTACCGATTCATCGAAACTGGCATGAACGCCTAGCCATGTGAGAACGACAGGTTTTTTTTTTAAGAATATCGCGTTTGTGTGCATGTATTGCTTGACATGACAGTTATTAAAAAATTATTGAAACGCTTGATATCAATCATTGTCACCCAAATATTAAACTAAAAGATCTAACGAATCATTTAATTATGATCGACGTTATTTTCTACGATCTTAATATTATCTAAAACACTACATTATATTACTACCTCAAATATTACAATTATAGTCTTTTCTTTAGTACCCTGTTTTCCATTTCGCTAGTAACGAAGTCGTAATTTTTACTCTTCCAATCAGCCAAAAATGTTGGATCATTTTCTAAAATTAAATGCTGCTCTATCTATCGTATAAATTACAGTCTCAATGGCATGCAGAATTTTCTGTATATATAAATTTTTATTTGTTATTTTAAATAAACCAGTCTTGGATGACAGTAATTCGGTAGGTGGCAGTAAACGGTCCGTTTACCCTACGCATCTAGTTGCCCCGTATTCCCCGTTGTCTAATTAATAGACTCGAGAGAGCCAAGCCGCCTATTAACCGACGAAATAGGGCAGAATAAGGCGAGAAAGAACGAGAGAGAGGGACGGTTGGCTCCTTCGCAGCGTTTCGATCTCGTCGGCGAAGGCGGAGGCGTATCTTTGTTCGTGGAGGTCTGGGCTTTCTGGTTCCTGGACACTGAAAGTGAAAGGGAAACGAACAGTGAAAGATAACATAGCAAGGACGTCCACTGCAACTCGCCGTGTCGGTTGCTGCCCTCGAGGCACGTCACGGATTCGTTCGTACCTCTGGTTCACCCCCTCGCCAATACCGCCTCACCCTCCTTTGTCTCGCGATGTTTTCCACGGGGTTTCAGGGTTACCGATCAGGATCCGGTAATGAATTTAAATAATACAACTCCTCCTCGATTCGTTCGCTACCTCTCTTTGTCTACCGTCCGATTGAAGAATTTTTGGCGGCGATTAACCCGATGTCGATGACTTAGACACCGGCCAAATAGGTTAAACCGGATTTCAAAGATTCTTCTACTTTCGTTCTTCCTACCTCTGTTCCGTTTTATCCTGTTTTCGAAGGCTGACCATGATTGGCTTCTCGCCGATACCTTGTGGTGTTGCTTCGGGGAAGTTCCGGGTGCATTTTTATGCGGTATTTTAGCGACCGAAAGCGATCGTTTTATTCAAGGCCCCTTTCCCTTTTAGTGGCCCGAAATAAACGTGATATTTAGGACTTTTTGTTAAAGAATACTAATAAGATATGATAAAGAAAACTTCCTGGAGTTTATTTATTATACATTTAAGTAAATGAAACAAAATTTTGGTTTCAATATTTGTGCAACGTGGCTGATTGTAGGTAGCATTAATCGTACTGATACAAAATTGCATTGTACAAACGGTGCTCAGGGTATTTCGATGTAGAGTGGTGTGAGATCAAAATTTCAAAAAGATTATTGAAGTCGAAAAAAAAATGGCTGCATTTGGTATGGGTTTAAAGATGGCATGCAGAAAAAAGGGGGAAATTTTACATATGTTATTGTGAATAGTAGATGTTAGACTTCAAAATTTTCAATAATATATCATACGATAGGTGATTCAATTACAAAAAGAATGCCACAAGAATGTTTATAATCGGTTAATTTTTTACGTTTTAAGTGGCAATTTGTATACAGTACAATTTCAGATCAACCCAATTATCGTCACCTACAATGCACGAATATTGAAATGTTGCGTTAATGCAACATTTCATATGCAACTTTTTTCAATCATGTTACATTATTGAATTTTGTTTCTTTTAACAAGGTTTGTTGATGAAAAGGAATTCCAGGAATTTGCTTAATAATTTTTACGTGATTATTTCTTCTTCCACCCAGGTATGCAAATTTTCTAAAGAATAAAAAACTCTTACGTATAAAAATCGTATTATTTTACTGTTCGATCTTTAATGGGTTAAGAGCAACAAATTGCATTATATCTCTTTCGTTCCATGAAAATTCTTATTTATTGCCGGCTGTATATTATCCGCGACGTCGTTACAATTCTCGTTGAGCCGTTGATTTTTCATTAATTTCACTGCGAGCGAAGTAACTGCGTCGCGGTTAATATTGAATTCGCGTGCTCGAATAATCGCGTTCGTTACACAACGAATAAAATCGAGCCCCGTCTACGCTCCGGTTCACATTCACTTCTCCGTTTTCCCGGCTTAGAAAATAGAAACTGTCGAGTTTCCGTGTGAAGCAGCTCTCTCGCGACGGGACGACGGAATTTCTTCAGCTCAGTTGAACGCGTAGCCATCGTGAACAGCATCATTTTTTTAATTTATCACAGTGTTTCATTACTAAAATAATTTTTTCCGTCGATTAACACGTAATCAGGATTGTTATTGTGGTTAAATTGAAATAGAAACTTACATTTCGCTCAACATCGCCTATTGCGTATGTTTAACAATACCCTCCTCACTATACTCTTTGTTTCACTTCTTATAATTTTATTCTTCGCTTTGTTATTGTTATTATACAAGTTCGTTACGTTACTTTTATTATTAAGTGATACAAGACCAGTTTCGAAAGAAGTTTGAGTATACTTAATTTTATGATTTGTATAATAAATGTCAAAGCATTACAATATCCTTATGAATTAATCAATGGAACGTTCAGTTGTTAAAAAAACTTGTTTAACAGAATAAAATGGAACATTTTACATATCTCGAAACAAAGAAACCAGTGCACTTATACCACTTTTGAGATGAACCACTCGTATAATGCACTTCATGCGTAAGAAGACAAAAGGTACCATTTTGTCCTCAACGATAAATACACTGCGTGCCATATCTATAAAAACACCCTAAAAATTTCAATTCTTATACATTATGATTACAATAAAAACGAATCAAGTATGCCTTGTCTGAAATCGCGATGAGAAATAATGTTTCGCTAGAAAAAGATAGATAACATTCCCTCGAAAAAAAAGTACAGATTCCTCTCGATTATCGTCAAACCTGTTCTACACGATTAATGTTCAGATGTTATCTCCACCACTGAGAGAGCGTGGAACCTGTCAAAAGCATACTTTGTTACCACTCCGCTTTTGTTGTCGAGACTCGTGTTTCGGGCAAAAAAACGAATTTATGAGGATCTGAATCATTCCTGCCTATACGATTATTGTCCCGGCGCGGACCCGAATTCGGGACGATAATCGAGAGGAGTCTGTAGTTCGTTTCTCTTTTAACCACTATACATAAAAATTGAAAATTTTAGGATGATTTTATAGTTACGCCAGACAGTATATAGTAAAATATAATTAGAAATGAACTTCAATATATAATATTAACATCAGTAAATAACCTCTATTTCTTTTTTAGTAAACTAGCGACCTATTTTAAACCCAGTACACATCTTCCAAACCCAGTGACTTATAGAAATGGCGTGATCTAACACAATATTTTCCAAACGGCGATCGTTCATTTAATTTCCACCATACACCTAATATTTCAACCTTAATAAATTACCACAAATGACACTGCTAATAAAGGGTGTATATAACATATATAAATAAATGGTTAAATATTAAAACCAAAGAAAAATAAGACACCGACACGAATAATAATATCTAACTGTCCAGGTTCAAAATTGATACTTCTGTACGATAGTGAAACGTTTTCTCGGCTCGTTCGTGGTGCAATCGAGGGGTCGAAGTGAACGTCCTTGGAAAGGAACAAGAAGCATTGTACACTCGTAGGAGATTCGTAAAAATACACGGACAACGTCCACGCCCCGGCTTATCAGAGGGACTCCGCGCTTGGGCGATTCTTTCTCGGATTTTATTCCGATCGTAAGTTACGCCTGGTGTGCATAAACATCACCGGCCGTGGAAACGCGCCGTGGGCTTTCACGGTCCCGCTGTTAGCATGTTTCTACTCCCTAGGCCTACCACTTTTCGTCGTCTTAAAGGCCGTTGTCCTATGAGTCATTGTCCACCGTGGAATTACTTCGCTCTCCTCTCTTCTCCTATACTCTAACCCCTTCGCCGGGTCCAGTCTACCTGGCTCGTTTCGCGTCTACTTATCTATATTTAACGAGGAATCCAGTCGGCGTACGGTTCAAGGCTTTCACATTTTATTTTTAAAAATCACTCGCAAATCGTGCG